ATTTCATTTTTCCAATTATTTTGGCTTAAAGATATAATAAAATATCATTCAGATAATGTGAAAAATTTCATAGACCTGGAAATGAGATAATTTTTAATGAGTCTCCACTCTGACGTCTGTAAAATGTGAAAATGTTTTATGGCCTATAAAAAATGTTTGTTTAAAATTTAAGCTGTACTACTAAAATACCATGTATTTATTTATACTAAAGATAGAAGACAATCAGTTAAAGAAAATTAACTACTGTCGGCATCGACTAGAATGCTTGCGAAGCACTAAAAACTATTTCAGGTTAGACAACGAATTGTTGTCAGCTAGAGAACCATTGAAAACCAGCCACACGGAGTACTGGACAGACGTTTTGTATTAGCTTTGAACTCACCGGCAGTACTCACCCACTGGGTTTTGAAACTAGGACCTTCTGGTTACAAGGTAAGCTCGTTGACGATCATTCAACGACCCACGAATTGGTAGAAGGTAGAATTCATGGACCATAGAATCGGCTCCCATTGGCTGAATGATATACAAGCTTGCCTTTAAACCGGAATCTCTGGGATTCGAAATCCACTGAGTGCGTACTGCTGATGAGTTCCGAAATAGAACATAGGAAACAGCTGTCAAATACTCCCAGGTGATTTTCAGTGGTTCTTTAACTGGTATCAGTCCATGGTCTAACTTGAAACAAATACATTCCCAACAAGCTAGTTTCTTTAGAAATTATTATTTCAAATGGATAGAAGGTGAATTTAATAGAATAGTTATCACAAAAATCAAGTTATATAATTACATTTATGCTTTATTTAGCAGTTTAAATAAACAGTCAATCTATCTTACTCCTTCATTCTGAGAGGGGAACAGTGGTCACCCTCTATTTTATACTCATTTTACTACATCTTCTTCTGGTTGGTGTCGACTCGCAGGAGAATCTACGATGATTATTTTGTCTTATTTGAGACTTGTCATATTGATATACCTGCATTCCAACTAAGAATTGAAGCTCGTACCTATCAATTTAAATGCCATATCAACAGAGACCGAGAATCTCCGTCTGACATAACTGATTAATGAGGAACGCAAATCAACTTAAAAATAACTTTACTACATTTCAACTCATTTATGAACTCTCGAAATGATGGATCAATTTATATGTCATTTCACCCACCACTACTGTTCAAGCTGCTTTATTCCACTCACTAATCTAACCATTGTTTAGTGTAAAAAATAAGTCTTTTACTTGAGATTTCATCCTGTATCGTACCTGGGGTCTCTTTCTCTTACCATCTTCTTACAAAAGATAAATTGTGAAAAAAAAGCACGATGGTTTTATTTAAAGTGACTGACGATTAAATTTGTAGCTAATTTAAAGTATTATTTAGGGAGATAACTATTAAAACAAAGCTATTCCAAGTGAAGTTTGTCGCAGGTTCACTGGTAGAATGGTCACCATCTGCAAATGTATCCTGGAGTTCGATTCCCGTTCGACGTATACTTAAACCTTGCTTAGTTCGTAGGAAGCGCGAAAAAGAAGGAAGGTTGGGCACGCAGCTATCAATGTCACTCCATAAAAAGAAACTAAAAATTACCGCTACTGAAAACTCATAAATCAAGCTTCAAAACTCTATGTTCCCCTCAGGACGCAAACGAATAATATAAAAAAACAGTCATAGTGTAACCTTCTGAGAATAGCGTTTCTACTCACAGATCAGCTAGCATATTCGCTATCAATCTATACCTTCCCAACTTCTTAATCTTTAGATTTAATGCCAGCCATTTAGGCTTTCGGGATAACATCAATGGTTCATTAGTTTCGTAAGGATTATTCATGACATCTTTTGTAGTTCTTTTGAAACTGTGATTTGAAATACTTCTAGCATCTTGACAGCTGTTAGAAATAGTTCCTTCTCCTTTCTTGATAGCTATATGATATCCAGTATAAATATACTTTAAAAAGACATACGTCCACAAAGAATATTCTTTGTGTAACTTCTCTTCAAACCTGTTCAGATATATGGTGTTTTAAGGGGTCATGAAAATACCAGTAAAGTTCAACTATTTTTGATGTGGTTGTGTTCTCCGAGCTGGATAGTTAATTTGTGAAGCTTTCATCGCCCCACTAGGCGACATCTTCAGCGCATACTTCAATTTGTTGAAGTGAGCTTTTAGACTTATCCACAAGTTTATTAATCATCTCTCCTCGTGACCTTGGACGTGATTGGTTGTTTTAGTGTGTTTTCACACCTTCTAGATCACTTGTATTGCAACTGATTGTTTCATTGACTCGAACTTGAACCCTTTGTGTGTGAGGTTTCTTTCTTATCGGTTGATAAATTTTGTCTATCTCGATGTGTCTCTTTCTCTTCACAAGAGAAGAGGAATCCGAGAACCAGATCCTATTTTTGAACGTCTTAGTCAAGTGAACAACCACAGGGGAATTAGAAACTCAAGTTTATAGAAAATCATCTCCCACACAGATCGAATCCTGAATTACAACAGCAACAATCCATAACACACAAAAGGAATTGCATACAAACACTATTCAAGAGGGCCAGTCAGGACTCATTACAGCACTCCCACCTTAAGGAAAATTGAAGAAAAATCCCTCATGGACGTCTTCCAAAAGAATGGATATCCACGAAATTTCATCAAAAGACATATACCCTCAAGCCAACCTATCAAACCAAAAGCCCCCATGGAAAGCACAAAGAAAATCGCCATACCATATATAAAGGACATCTCAGAAATTACTACAAGACTCTTCAAACCTCTAGGAATTGACGTCGTACACAAACCAACAAAATCCCTTCACTCAGCTTTATGTCGTCAACCAAAAGACTCAACAGCGTAAGAAGATGAAACAAACATCATCTGCAAAATTAATTGTAACAACTGCGAAAAACGCTATATTGGTCAAAGTGGACGTCCCCTTCTTCTTCGTATCCACGAACATAAGCTAGCCGTCAAAAGACATGATATCCACTCCATAACTCATACCATTGCATGCAGACAACCACGGACATCAATTCGACTGGGAGAACCAACGTTCAAATATTAGACAGAGGAAACAACAAGAATCCTAAAGAATTTTTAGAAGCCTGTCTGATATTCCAGTGAGTAATCAATCAATATACACATCGAGATAGACAAAATTTATCAATCGATAAGAAAGAAACCTCACACACAAAGGGTCAAAGTTCGGGTCAATGAAACAATCAGTTGCAATACAAGTGATCTAGAAGGTGTGAAAACACACTAAAACAACCAATCACGTCCAAGGTCACGAGGAGAGATGATTAATAAACTCGTGGATAAGTCTGAAAGCTCACTTCAACAAATTGAAGTATGCGCTGAAGATGTCGCCTAGTGGGGCGATGAAAGCTTCACAAATTTACTATCCAGCTAGGAGAACACAATCACATCAAAACCATCCACCTGAGCTACAAATCTTCTCTATCATATCTAAAGTTCAATTATTTATAACAGTTGCTAACCAAAACATATAGAATAACATATCTTTAAAAAACTGAATAAATTATGAGATTTGCCTACATGATCTAGAAGCACTAAGTGATGAATAGCATTCAGAAGGGAATACCATTAAAATTGCAAGGGCTTGGCAATAGGATTATTGTTCATAAGAGTAGGAGATTCACAATATACGTAAAAAGCACATTTTACAGTCATGAGTTTGAAAAAAAGTAGGAAGAATGAGAAAACTAGAGAGTGCGGATTACATACCAAATTATTATTATTGTTGTGACAGGTATTAAAAAGAGTTTAATGCCACATCAGTAAAAAGGATAGTACGTCGGTAGAACAGAGGTAGAATCCTTGCTGACCACGTCTAATCTGGTAGGGGATTCGATCCGTTGCAGACTCATTCATTTACCTCTCTAAACTACTAATAAGACTGGTAAAGAAGGAAGATTGGGCATGAGTTTAGCAACTCCAACTGCCAAAACTAAACACCACCGCTACCGAAACTTTAAAGCTCTATCTTGAAGCCCTATGTTCCACTGGGAATGTAGAGGAATTTTTAAAATAATAAAGAGAAAGTATAAAAGGGTTGAACAAACCGTTTTGGCAGATTCAGTAAAGGGTTTTCCCTGTGTATAGCAAAAGCCTCGGCTGTGGACAGAAGATGACACCGAAACCCCTCAGATGTATATCAGTTTTTGAAAGATTTCTCTATTAATATGGAATGGTGTAAAAGGACAAGCTTTAATTTCTCCTTTCAACAATCATACTCGGAGATTTTCTCATGCACAATTACACACAATCCAACTGATACAACACAAGAGCAAGTGGACTGATAATATGCAAATAGGTGTTGCCAACAGTCCCTTATGTTTTGATGAGTAGAAACGTATTAGAATGCATATATGAGAAAATTGAGCTATGCACGATGCTATAGACTGCCTGACTGAGGTTGCTGAGACAGTAAGAACCAATGGCTACTGACTGCTAGTGATATGGTTCAAATTAATCCTTAATGGAGTAGATGCATTCACTCTTCTTGCGGACTGATAGGTTTATCAAATCAACATTTGAATAAGAAATCGTAAAATATATATTATCTATGTATAAACTGGGAGTACTGGACAGCTGCTGTTTCATCCTAGTTTGGGAATCATCGACAGTACGCACCCACTGGGATTCAAACCCAGGACCTTCAGGTTACAAGGCAAGCTCGTATACCATTCAGCCACTGTGCGTCGGTGGCACAGCGGTAAGGATGCTCGCCAACCATGTACATGGTCCAAGGTTCGATACCCGACCACAGACGCCGAGCCAGAAATAATGCTGGTAAAGAGGAGAAGTTGAGCATGAGGCTAGCAACCCAATCCTGTAAAAATAAACACCGCTACAGAAACTTGAAGCCACTAGCTTGAGGCCCTATATTCCACTGAGAACGTGAAGGAAAAAAAGGATAAACTGGAATTTGTATGATTGAAGATCATTTACCCACTGTTCATTTATTTTTTCATTACTTCTACTTGCAGAATTACTGGCGGAGAATTATTTGAACGGATTATTGATGAATCATTCGATTTGAATGAATCTAGATGCATAAAATTTATGCATGAAATTCTTCAAGGTGTTGAATACATGCATTCCCAAAATGTAATACATCTTGATCTCAAGGTAATCTGTCTTATCATTATTATTATTACTATGTTTTCCATACAACTATAAAAAATTTTTTAGTACTCATATGAAAAAAGTGAAATTCAAGTGTTGGTTTGTGGGGATTTGATTGGCACAGTGGTTAGGACTCTCGCCGACCATGCACATGGTCCGGGGTTCGAGCCCGCACCGACGCACATCTGATATCTATGGTCGGCCTGAAAAATTTGGGCTACCGATATCCATGCTGAAAATTCCATACTTGTACCGAAAATACAGTGTGGAATCAAGCTGAAGGTCAAAAAAAAAATGGTTACAGGATTTCATCATGAGCTAACATTAGTTATAGAACCATTGGAAAACCACCTGGGAGTACTGGACAGCCAATTGTTTCGTCCTAGTTTGGGACTCTTCTGAAAAGTTTCAGATCACTGTAGAAATCTGGTGCCTTCAATATATATATATATATATATATAGGATCAGATAGCTAGCTGGGAAGGATATAGCAACAAGGAACTCTGCCCACGTACCAAAGAAGAACATATAGCCCAACAAATATGCAGAAGGAAATGAAGACACGTTGGACTTATGCTAAGGAGGTCATTAAGTGACATCACATGCCAGACTAGGTCTCAAGTGAAACCCAAATGAGAAACAACCAGTTGAACGTGAAAGAAAAAGCATGAGGATGGTATGAAAGCGTATAGGCAATCTACAAGAGTATAGAGAACAGGGTGAAATGAGGATATGTTACTAATTCCCTGCGCGCAAAACCTACTTTTTCAGTATTAGTCTACTATGCTTAGTGACATACTTTGAAGTAGATTTCTTATACAAAAATAATTACTCAAACATAACATGAGATGACGGCATGACTTTATCACAAATCAACGATATTTAGAAAGCATGGGCCACTGGATCACAACCCAGTGTGTGAATACTAGTAATTTGCTCAACTAGTAATCTGAAGGTGTTGATTCAACTCTTGCTACAGTTGTGGATGTGCATTACTGGAGAGATCTTAGCGAGAAAGAAACACTTTGCCAATGACTAATATGTTTCAGTGATTCCCTAACGAATATCCGTTGATATGATAGAGAAGATTTGTAGCTCAGGTGGATAATTTTGATGTGGTTTTGTTCTCTGAGCTGGATGGTTAGTTTGCGAAGCTTTCATCGCCCTACTGGGTGACATCTTCAGCGCATACTTCAATTTGAAGTGAGCTTTTAGGTTTCTCCACGAGTTTATTAATCATTCCTCCTGGTGACCTTGGACGTGATTGGAAATAACAAGAATGCTAGAGAATTTTTGGAAGCTTGGCATTCCAGCGAATCATCAATCAATAGACACATCGAGATAGACAAAATTTATCAACCAATAAGAAAGAAACTTCAGACACAAAGGGTCAAAGTTCAAGTCACAGAAACAATCAGTTCCAACACAAGTAACCTAGAAGGTGTGAAAACACACATAAACAACCAATCACGTCCAAGGTCACGAGGAGAGATGATTAATAAACTCGTGGATAAGTCTAAAAGCACATTTCAACAAATTGAAGTATGTGCTGAAGATGTCACCCAGTAGGGCGATGAAAGCTTCGCAAACTAACCATCCAGCTCAGAGAACAAAACCACATCAGAATATCCGTTGGTGACAAAATCCAACTTAAATTTTTAAGAAGTATTTTGTAGAGATTCTCACTAGTGACTGACTTAAGTGAGAAATTGCCTGCAGTTCTAATGAGCAGTCGAGACTAGTGGGGTTCATCCAGTCTAGAGTGCTTGAGTGGTTGCGCTTAAATCATGAATTTGTAGAAGTTTGAATTCATGGGCCACTGAATCGGATGCCAGTGGCTCAATGGTCGTCAACTAGCTTACCTTGTAACCGGAAGGTCTTAGGTTCGAACCCTGGCAGTAAGTGTATGCTACCGATGAGTCTCAAACTAGGGAGAAACAGCTGCCTGGCAGTACTCCCCTCTGGTTCTCAATGGTTCTCTAACTGATATAAATCCATGGTCTAACTTAAAATATCAAATTTTCAAAACACTTTGCCTAATGATCTCAGATATCTATCGTTTACCCCTGAAAACATTCAGTAAACACTTGACTAAAACCTAACTAAATATCTTTTTATTTTAGGGTTGAGAAACTGGTGTAAATGCATTATTCCTAGACCGGTAGACCAATAACATCATACAACTTTAATCCAGTAGGGTTAGTATTCATTTTAATGTATTAGCCAATTTTACAGACATAAAAAGCATTGACCTATTTTACACATATTATTCGAATGAGGTAATAATTTGAAGATCTTTTATTGAAGAAGAATGAACAGAACTTCAAGCTAAGCAAAGGCAAAGAACACTGAATGTTAACATTCTTTATTCCTTTACGTTCCCAGAGGAAAATAGGGCTTCTTAAAGCTAGGCACTTGAAGTTTCTGTGGCAGTGGTGATTATTTACACAGGATGGAGTAGCTAGCCGCATGCTCAAACCTTTCCTCTTTACCAGTCTTACAGCTGATTTAACGAGGTAAGTGAGTGCGTCGGCCGGGAATCGAACCCTGAAGAACATTAGGTGTAGTTGACAAGCATTCTACCGCTGTACCTTCTAATCACAATGTTAGCATTGAATTCATTCAAACAACCAAACATAATGAAACTAGAAGAAAATTGAATACACAAATGTGGACTTTTGAAAAGGGGATTGAAACCGCACACACACGCGAACTTCTAGGTAGGACCATATTTTAAAAAATATATATATAAATGTTTCCTATCTTCCTTCTTATTTAACTAATTTACTAATATATTGTCAGTAAAACGTGCAGCCGTATTAAACCAAAACCTTTGACTTTAGTTCCAACATTTGCTTCATCCAACTGACCAAGAGTCATTTCATCATCAGACGGGGAAATATGGAATTATTTGTTTTATGTCGCAAAATTTTATGCACGTTTTCTGTTATAGCAATAAAGACGCCAGTAAACAAATTTATTTTTGTTGTTATTGTTGCCTAAATTCATTTTTAATAGCTATAATGTTGTAGTTTTCAAGTAAAAGAAGGTTGATGGTATGCATGTGTGCTTTAAGCGAAATTTTCATATCACCTTTAATTATGTTTTTACGCTGCTGATTTGAAAGGTTAAAAAGAAGCATCAAGGGTGTAAATTTCAAAAGCGATACGAAGCTAGAGTGAAATAGTCACCTCTCCCTGTCTCTCATAGTTTTCTTTGGCACTTTAAATAAGCAATTAAATGTGTAAAGTATAACAGTCAGGGAAATTTAAAATATCAGTAGACTGACTGACTACATATGATATGAATTCCATCTCTAACCTGTAATGTGCACAAGTTGATGTGCAAAGAACATAAAATTGAATAGATTGTTTAGAGGTGTGACATATATATATATATATATATATATATATATATATATATCCCTTCAAAAAATGCAAAGTCCCATGAGAAAATGTTTCTCACAACACAGCATATTTCAACAATACTTCTTTATGTTCTTTCATGCCTAAATAAATCTTCTTCCTTGGTTAATAATGTTGAACAATCAACTTTCTTTTAGAGTATTTCCATGGTGTTAGTTTGTAGCAATATGACTGGTTACACGTTTCATCTTGAAGTAACATCAATTAGAGAGAGAACCATTGTAAAACCAGTAATCAACACTTAAAAATTATTCTGATTCTCACTAGTGACCAGCTCCATACAGAAGGTTACCTAGGATTCCAGTGAAACACCATGACCAGTGGGGTCGATCAAGTTGTGTAAGAGAACAGTTACTCGTCGCTGACACTGGCTTGTGGTCGCTCTCCCTCCATATATATATATATATATCATCGATTGGCAGGGGTTCGACTTCATTGGGCCATCGGATAGGACTCCGGTGGATTAATTGTCTACGAGCTTGCAAAGTGAACTGAAGGTTTTAGGTTGAAACTCCAGAAGGTGAGTACCTCCAGAGAGTCTTTAACTAGGACAAAACAACTTCCCAGTACTCTGTGGTTTCTTAGTCGTTCAGCTCCTGGTTAAAACCGTAACTAATCAAATCACTGCAAATCGAAACATTTTGATGATTATTACTTTTGTCAAATTTGAGCAAATGTCACTGTATATCTTTTCAATAGTTGTAAGTATATGTATGTATCTATTAAATGCATATCATTTTTCTTATTGTATTTTAGCCTGAAAACATACTGTGTCTATCAGGTACAAGTTTTAAGACAAAAATAATTGATTTTGGATTGGCTAGATTTTATGAAAACAAACATCTTTGTGTTCTATTTGGCACACCAGAATTTGTATCTCCTGAAGTGATTTCATATGAACCAGTTTCACCTGCTGCCGATATGTGGTCACTCGGTGTTATATGTTATGTAATGTAAGTTATATACATATATATTTCACCTACAATGAAAGAGATTTTATCATAGATTTCTAGTTCATATATTCCTCTGGTTTATGTTGCTTTGTCATAATATGAAACCGTAGATCTCTATGTGAGAGTCTTACCTGTAACTCAAGGTTATTAAATGAATTCACTTTTTGAATCAATGAGTTCCCTTTTAGAATTTCTGTGAAACAATAAGAAGACGTAATCTATTTGAATTGTATAATATTGTACTTGTGCAACACATTATGAACAATTGGATCACACACACTTACTTGTCTTAGAAATACATATATACTTAGATGCCAAAGCATTTCTCATCAGTCAAAACTCTATGATTGTTTTATTGACGTTAACTTTTTTCTTATATATGTATACATATAAGCGAGCAGATGATAAGCTTCTTGTATATTAGGTGTATAGTGGACACTCGTCAGTGGCAACAGATGGCCACAGCTGTATATCTCGAATTGATGAAAGTTAGAACTCATGAGTCATGAAGTAGTCAACTAGCTGATCTCGTAATTTCAAACGTCCTGGATCCTATCACTGATGGATTCGAGAGTGCACATTTCTGAAGAGACTCAGATCAGAACAAAATAGTTGTTCAGGCCTCTACTGTCTTCAATAACTGTCTAACTAACTACGGTTTGTGAAGAAATCTCACAATTATTTATTGGTGAGTTATTTCATTACGTTTAAAACTGGCCATTTGATTGTCTACTCGAAAAAAGTAATTATTCAAAAACAATATGCGTCGGTGGCACAGCGGTTAGGACGCTCGCCGACGATGCACATGGTCCGGGGTTCGATCCCCAGCCACAGACGCACTCCCTTACCTCGCTAAGCCGGGAATAATGCTGGTAAAGAGAAAAGATTGGGCATGAGGCTAGCAACCCCATCCTGTAAAAACAAACACTGCTACAGAAGCTTCAAGCCACTAACTTGAAGCCCTTTGTTCCACTGGGAACATGAAGGAAAAAAAATTCAATAGAAAAAATTTACATATGTTCAATAGTTCAATTAAAGTTGTGAATAAGGAAGAATTTTATGAAAGTTCGAGTCAGTCAACAGTTTGCTCAAATGAGAACAAACAATACTTTCAATAATGGAATAGGTGATAAATAGTTTAGGAGATGAACATCATGCATGAAGGCAAAACAAGAATGAATCCTAGATCATACTTTAACGACAGAAGACAAGGGCCAGGCAACAGCTCGTTTATTTAGGAAATCAACACATATTTATAGATTCTCATGTACATTATTATAGATTATTGTTAGCAGAAAAACACAGTCTTCTGATTGGTTGTTCCTCACTGAAAGTTAATCTTTCATCTCTTTGCGGCTGTTTCCTGAAGTTGAGATTATCTATCCGAAAATTGTATCCGCCTGCGTAAAGTCTGTTGTGATTGGTTGTTGAGTCAGTCTTTGTTTATATTTTTCTCACGACCAATATTGGGGACGTAAACATTGACGTAACTTACTGTCTACCACTTTTGGCTAGCAGCCAGCTCTCACCAAAATACGACTAACAGTCAAGCAAAAATTGTGTAACTGTATCACAGGTTAATGTATAGGGAATAAATATCATAAGGGATCCTATTAGTTAGTATGGTACATAATGGACGCTAAAGAAAACATTTTAATGCAAACACATATTACAAAATGACCTTCAATTATTATTGATAATATGTAGGTACCGTGGGCTTAATGGGCATCTATCTGTAGAAATCACTGCTGTCGTCATAGTCACTTGATTTGCTATCATTAAAACAGTGTTTTATTAGAAAATTGATTGAATTAATCAGTAGTGTGTTTGCTATGTCGTGAGCTGGTAGAAGTTAGAATTCATGCACTGGCCACTAGATCGCTTCCCAGTGGCTTAATAGTCTACGAGCTCGCTGGTCTTGTAACCAAAAGGTCCTGGGTTCAAACCCTGGTGGTAGGTGTGTCCTGGTGAAGAGTCCCGAACTAGAACGAAACAGCTGACTGTCCAGTACTCCGAGGTTGTTTTCCAATGGTTCTCTAACTGATGTCAGCCCCTGATGAAATCCTGTAACCGATTTAAATAACTTAATCAGCTGTATAAACCTGAATTATATAAGCATTTACAAGAATGATAGATGCAAGTGTAGGAAGACCCTTGTTACAATGATCTTCTAACCAGTGTTCAGTTGCGTTTCTTCCCATAAAGTCGGAGTTGTTGTTTGTTTCAGTAGCAATTGTTTCACCTTAAATCACATTCACAATTTGTAAGTTGGTTAGCAGTTTGAAATCTGAACAGTTCGTGTATTGAAATCTCATCGTAGTTTCCCTTGAGAACCAAATTATTCAGATCTCAGTATGCGATATACTACTAACTGACTCATGTGAATAGTAGTTGTATGCAACTCGTATCAAACAGTAATGCTTGCTAGATACATCGAGGTGATCTAAATACCTAACGGCCGTCTCGCTCGTTTGCAGCCAACGTCATAAGCGGTGTTTGATTCAGCTCAGAGAGTGAGTGGTATATAACTACTCATCTCAATCACTCAGTAGTATACAGTTTTATTTAAGTTGTTTTACCTTTTATTAAAAAAATGAAGTATTCATCTAAAAAGGTAGTCTTTTTTTCTTTTCCAAAGATATGCGTCAAGAAGTCATTTTAATTTTCTCTTATACTAGATCTCTAAGCATTATGAACTAGTTTTTGTATTAATTGGCCATGTTGATTTTAAGACTGATGACCTGCTACCATACATCTACGTAAACATACAAAGACAGCAATGTATTAAGCATGATATTACTTTAGTATCAGGTGCCTCTAAACAATCCGTATCACACTTAATGCCCACAATTTCAAAACATAATGATAATAAAGACTGTCAACTTGAAATACATCAGTTCACGATGCCAACTCATGATAAAATCCTGAAACTAATCAAATCCCTGCAAACAGCACTTGAATATCGATGAAATGCTCACTAGTGACTGGCCCCATTCAGATATGTAGTTACCTGGGTTCTAGTGGGAAGTCGTGACCAGTGGGGCACAGCAGCACAAATAATCTCCCCAGATGACATTGGCTAGTGGTCATGATATATCGTGAACTGGCAGAAAATGGAATTCATGAATCATTATATCAGGTCCCAGTGGCTTTATAATCTACGAGCTAGCTGTGTAACCGGAAGGTCCTGATTTTGAACCTCAATGGGTGCATACAGCGAAGAGTTCCAAACTAGGATGAAATAGCTGGCTGTCCAGTACTCCGAGGTTGTTTTCCAATAGTCCTCTAACCGATGTTATTTTCTGATGAAATCCTGAAATATATTTATTTTCAAGCAGGTAACTGTAACAAGAATTTACATCCTATCCATAATTCTATTGAATCCTAATGCAATTTACTGTTTCTCTGCCTTTACAGGCTATCTGGTTTATCACCGTTTATGGGAGAGAGTCAAGGAGAAACGTTAGCTAATATCATGCGTGTTAAATACCATTTTGATTATCCTGAATTCGCAGAAATTTCTAATGATGCCAGGGATTTTATCAAAAAACTTTTAGTAAAAGATCCAAGGTAATCATATCTTTACAGTTTTTTCCTTACTTTCAATCTGTCGTGTGTTAAAAGTCAAATGTAAATTTCATTCTATTTACATGTGAGTTAAACTCACTCATTCTAAACAAACTAAGCGTTTAAAATTCTGTATGTGGGTTTATAACAATCCTTGTAAAATGGAAAGTGGGTTTCAGAAAGAAAACTAGTAAAAAGGGCTTTTTCTAATACAATCTTTTTACTGAAAACTTATGAAACTTATTATTACGTCAGCACAGAGACCCTCGTAAATTATGTGTCTTAAGACAGAGATCCGGTGTCCTCCCTTCTTTATGTTCACGGTTTGTGTAAAAATAGGTTTCTACTGGAGCATAGAGCTTCAACACCACATTTCCATTTCTTCTTTTTCTCTGAAGTCCCTTTTAGCTGGCTCCACGATCGTTCATAGGCTCTCACTTCTCACTCACACAGTCTCCTTCATGTCACTTTCGGGCCAACGCCCAACTCATCTTTTCCTATTTAAGTTCCACTAGAAGGTCTTATGGGCGATCTCACTCAACAGTCTTCTTACTCAGTGCGTGTACTATCCACCTCCACTCCTTTCTACCTATTTGCTTGACAATAGGTTTTTCGTCAGTTTGCAACCAGAGTTCCTTGCTCCTAATTCTTTCTGGCTATGTGATCCTTAGTGTTGAGAATAGACAATTGTTGATGGTAGAAGTCTGCAACAGCCTGTTTGAAATGCTTCTGGTGACGAGACAAGTCTCTGAACCATATAGAAGCACTGAATGGCCTGTTGCTGGTTTTGGAAATAAAAATCTTGTTCCTTATGCTTAGTGCAGTAGAGTGTCAAACTAATTTAAGATGAATGAAGATCTTTCTGACTTTTAGGATTGTGGCTGTCCATGATATCTTCATCCATGAAGCCTGTAACTGAAGCAGTGTTGTCTAAATGAGTCAAAGGAGTGAACTCTTCCAAATTTCTTCTGTTGATAGTGCTTGTGGCTGTTGTTGGTGTTGGTGGTTAGTTGGTTATTTTCATCACCGTTATCTTCTTTATAGTACACCCTAAGTCCTGTATTTGATGCCTGCCTCTTTTCCCAATTTTTTGGTTTTCACCTGTACATCTTCGATCTTATATGATATTAGATATAAATCTTCTACAAAGTTCAGATATTTTGGAGCCTTCTTACCAGTCGAATGTATTCCTATCTTGTCGCTCCTCATGGCCTTCCACATGATCTAGTCCGCCACAATGGGGAATATCATCAGTAATATTAGGAAGCTTTATCTTGCTCCTGTTTACACTTAGTAGGATTCACTGAGTTCTCCATTGTGAATCGCTTGACACGTCGCATTGTCCTATCGCTGTTGAATGAAACTGATGAAGATTTGGGGGCAGTGAACTTCGTTGTGCCGAAGTAGTTTCCAAGTTACTTTGCAGTCAACACTGCCGAAGTTCTTTTCAAAGTCTATGAAGATGAGGTAGATATTTGACTGTCATTCACTCATTCCATGCTCTGTTTAACGATAATTCTTAGTGTTGCAAGTTGACCAGCACATGATTTTCTTTTTTTCTCAGTCCAACTTGTTCCAGTCAGAGTTTCGTATCCAGTGCATCTTTTAGGACTTATATATATATATATATATATATATATATTCAACTTCTTTTGATTTGACACTAGTAACTAGTGTGATGTGTCTAGTCCTCTCTTTGGTGCAGACTGAATTCTACCAGTTAGGTTGCTGACGAGTGCCAACTAGCACGAAACCTAGGTCCTAGGCTTCCTGTGGCCGACTGCCTCCAACCATCGAATATCGTCAAATCAATGTGTACCATGATGGCGAGCCACCTAGAATGGTGACCACATTACAACCTGACTGATAGGATTCAGTCTGCACCAAAGAAAGGGCTAGACGCATCACACTAGTTACTAGTGTCAAATCTAAATATCCACTACAGTCCTACAGGAGATCAATCGTGAGCCCGAATAGCTCAGTGGTAATTGCTCTGACTGCAGCACTGGATGACGCGGGTTCGAATCTCAGGAGGGACAAGGTTGCAGATATGCCTTGCTGATGAGTTCTCACTAGCACAAAACCTAAGTTCAAGGCTTCTTGTCGATTACCTCCAACCATCTAATATATTTAACTTAATTTTACAGTTGTGTGCATGCCGCTAGTTAACCAATAGCTGAAGAAGTGAATCTTGGTTTCACTCTCTGCAAGAAGTAGTCTGAAGACAACTCAAAATGAAAAGACCTCTCCTAATCCGATAAATGTACAGCGGTGATATAAGTTTCTTTTCTCAAAATCGCTAGCTTATTAAATTTTATTAAGAACAACTTATGAAGCTTTCTTTATCTTAAGGTTATTGGGAGAGCATAAATTTATATTAGACCGATGATTCCATTGAAGTAATGCATCTTTTTATGCTTTCTAGCTGGAAGTTGTCAATTAAAAGTTACCGATACTGGAGATACTTGTAGAACTACAAAGAGTCACTTCCAACTCAATAATGGAGTAAAGATAATAATCAGAATTCATTCACAAACACCAACTAATATTTTTTTTGATTTCACTACGTCAATCACTTCCTTTTATAGTTAGTTAGTTAGTATTATGCAAATAAATTACATGCAGTGACGATTCTTCCACAAGTGAATAATTTTCTTCCATGTAAGTAATACCAAAAGATCAGTCGTTTTATGCAACAGTTGAATTTAAGCACTAATTTCAGAGCGCACTTCCGCATCAGATAAGTCCACTTCGTATGGCACAGCGTTGAGCACTCTTCAAACCTGTATGATGTTTCAGACAAAGTGTGTAGCACATTTCTAATATATCCTAGAAATGTAATGTCATTGCGCAACATCAATCCGAGACACATGAAAAATTGTAATTGAAAGTAAATTAGGGCTGAATGGAGATATGTTAATACCCTAATACGGTTAACAGCAATACATCTTTCCCTGAGATGTCGTCAGATCAGTCATTCTGTCTCACTGTAAGTTATACTAAACAAATTTATCTGATATGAATGCATCCTTGTATTATCAATGAAAACAGTTAGCTAACTCAGTCAATGACTGGTTACAGGATTTCATCAGGAGCTGACATCAGTTAGAGAACCATTGGAAAACAACCTCGGAGTACTGGACAGTCAGCTGTTTCGTCCTAGTTCGGGATTCTTCACCAGGACACACCCACCACCAGGGTTCGAACCCAGGACCTTTTGGTTACAAGACCAGCGAGCTCGTAGACTATTAAGCCACTGGGAAGCAATCTAGTGGCCAGTGCATGAATTCTAACTTCTGCCAATTCACAATATAGCACGACCGCTAGCCAATGTCTTCGGCGAGTATTTTCGCTCACACCTGACCTGCTGCACCCTACTGGTCACGACTTCCCACTACAACGCCAGGTAACTACATACCTGAATAAAACCAGTCGCCAGTGAGCATCTTATTGATATTCGAGTATTGGTTTGTAGGGATTTTGTCACCTTGTAACCAGAAGGTCCTGGGTTCGAACCCCGGTGGGTGCGTGCTGCTGAAGAGTCTCGAACTAGGCTGACGAACCAGCTGGCTGTCCAGTATCCCAAGGTTGCTTTTTCAATGGTTCTCTAACTGATGTCAGCTCATTATTAAATCCTGTAACCAGTCAACCAAATCCCTACAAACCAATACTTGAATATCAGTCAGTGACTCTTTGTTCAGAACTTGATTATCAAAAATGGCTTAGCAGAAGATTTCGCAGTGGGAAGTGATAATTGATTTCTAATGTTTTGAAGAAAAACGTAGTATGTGAGTAGAATTTTAGAGTAGAAACTCAAAAATTGACAAGCTAAGGAAACTTTTTAAAAGACGATTAAGTCGATTACACTGGTAAGTGAAACAAGGGAAAAGTTTGTTGATGAAAGGAGCGACTATTACCACCGTTTCAATGGTTAGAAAATTTTTTATTGTTCGAGAAGAAATTCTAAAGGTAATTAGCATGATGAATGACTACAGACTAGTTTTATTGTTTGTTTAACACCTTCACTTTTGGAATGTTTCATTGGGCAGCACAAATTGATATTTCCTTCACATCTGGCATATATTCCAGCAGAAGCCCCCTTTACATCCAGGGTAATTCTCTTTGTTACTCTAGGTGAGGTATTCCTCATCAGTGAAAGTTAAGGATTACCCAGTATTTGAATATAAATCGTTTTTAGAATATGATGATTTTAGGTACATAAGATGTTATGGAACTTTATAGATACATATAATGGTCATATAAGGCTGCACACACATTGACGAAGTTAGTAGTTGTCATCGAAGTATATTAGCAGCTGCTAATACTTGCTGTCTTTAGTTCAGACGTGGAATGCCTGACAGCTATCCACATGGCTCAGGTTCGATTCCATGCCTACAGACTAATAAATCTCGGAAAAGAAGGAGGGTTGGGTATAAGGCTAGCAACCTAAGTCTGTAAAAACAGCACCACTGCCGCAAAGAATTCAAAGCTTGAAGCACTATGTACCACTTGGAAAACAAAGAATCAAAAAGGGTGTTTACCTTAAGATCAAGACATCCTGATCAATGATCACACGTAAATTCTTTAACAGTAATCGTCCAGACACATGTTTCTTTGAAGATTACCACATATTTCTCCCGATGTACAAGCAGTTCAAAAATATGCAGTACCATAAGATGAACGCATTTTGTCATTTCACAAGTTCTACACAAATGTCTAGAGCCTAAATTACGTCAGAATATATATTTTTTCTAATAAATAAAGTTATATTTACCTGTATGTGAAGAGAATAAACATACAATGAGTTTTTCATGGATTTTGAATAATTCAAAGTTGCATACCAATGTACACAATTAACAAAAATAATTTCAATGCAGATTTTGTCATCACCAGTTACAGATAACTGAATATCATGGACCACTGGACAGCTGCTTCTTCTTAGTTTGGAACTCTAAACTCATCGATGGCTAGTGGCTGGACGTCCTGAAGTTATGGTGAGAAGTTGGGGACAGTAGGCTTCACTGTGTCAAGGTAAAGCGGAAGCTTATCGAAGGCATCAGGTAGGCATGGCTCTAAAACACAAATTTATAAAAGTTAGAATTCAAGGGTTATCAAACTCTGCTCCAAGTGGCTGGCTGAGTGGTGAACAAGCTTGGTCTCGTAAACAGAAGGTTTTCAGGTTTGATCCCTGATGGGGTCGTGAGATCCGCGCTGCTCGTAACAGTGGAATCAAAACAGACTGAAAATATGACCGATAAGAGCTTAAGAAATATCTTATACAAAAGCCCGTTTTAACTAGTTTTATTCATAATAGATGCACGAATTTATTATTACAAATGCGAAACACAGATAAAATGATGGTGTAATCTCTTATTTGTTTTCTTTCACACTGCTCTTCTGCTTCGCGTACCAAATTTGCTGATATAGAAAAAGACTTACAGCCACTGAGTGTTTACAACATCAATGGTTAAAGGTAAGTAAAGGTATTGAATTGTTTTACTAGCTTATTTATGATGACCTAGCTTGTCTTTTTTCTAATTAACCACATGGTAAGGAATCTAATGCCCTATCAATTCTAACTTCTGCCAGTACGCTATATATATATAACACAACCACCAGCCAATGTTATCGGCGAGTGTTTATCCTCACATCCAACTTGATGGATTCTGGCAGTCACACCTTCCCACTGGCACTTTAGGCAAGTTCAACACCTGTAGTCAGTCACTACACTTAACACACATGAGAATTAGTATAATGCCCACTAGTGATTGACTAAAGAATGAAGTTACCTAAAGTGCTAGTGAGAATTTATGACTCTTGAAATCCACTAAGCTAGGTGCGAGGATAAATAATTGAATGTTTGGATTTCCTGTAAACACTAGTGTTTAACTTCATTGGAAGCTCCCCTTCCTGACTTTCCAATTCATAAGTGAATTGAACTGCCTCTACCTTCGTGTTAGTGTGTTCAAAAAATCTATTTATACCCTGTGTTCTAAGTACAGTGAATGTGTCATCTACATACCTCCACCACACTTTTGGGGTGGGGGTGAACTTTTCAGTTGTTATGTTTTCCCACCTATCTATGAATATATCTGCTACAACTGGGGATATTGGTGATCCCATGTCAACTCCCTCAGTTTGTTTGTATATTTTCCCTTGGAATTTAAATACTGTTGAAGTCAGGCCCAGCTTCACTTCCAGCATTATGTAATAAGTTCGAGTTCTTGGTCAGAAATGAGTTCGTTTCTGACTTCCTCTATAGCCACATTTATTGGTATATGTGTATGTAAGCACACAATGTCAAAACTAACTATTTTTTCTTCATTATTCAATTTTAAATTATCTAATCTGTGCTTCAATTCATTGAAATTAGTTAGTCTAGATTTCGAGTGGCTTTTTAGGGGATTTAGTACTGTGGCTAAATAACTAGATAATTCACAAGTAGGTGAATTTCTAAAATCAACTATAGGCCTGATAGGGTATCCTGACTTATGAACTTTAACAACACCATACATCCTACTGGGATTATTAGCTTTAGGCATTCAGTTCCAAGGGAAAATATACAAACAAACTGAGGGAGTTGACATGGGATCACCAATATCCCCAGTTGTAGCAGATATATTCATGGATAGGTGGGAAAACATAACAACTGAAAAGTTCACCCCCACCCCAAAAGTGTGGTGGAGGTATGTAGATGACACATTCACTGTACTTAGAACACAGGTTATAAATAGATTTTTTGAACACACTAACACGAAGGTAGAGGCAGTTCAATTCACTTATGAATTGGAAAGTCAGGAAGGGGAGCTTCCAATGTTAGATTCCATGGTAAAAAGGAAAGAAGATGGGAAGTTAAACACTAATATTTACAGGAAACCCACACATTCAAGCACATATTTGGACATCCGATCATCCTATCTTATGTTAGTGAAAATAGCATTGAAGAATTGTTTAAGTGACAGAGCACAAAAAATAAACAGCAGCAAAGAAAATCTGGGACAGGAAGTGATACACATAAAAGAAGCCTTGAAACTTAATAATTACCCTGATAAATTAATCAGAAATTATGAAGGGAAGTGTAAAGATAAAATTAATAATAATAATAATATCATAGTGATGATGATAATAATGATAATATTAATAATGACATGCATGTCAAATATGCTCAGGATAATGACAACACCAACAATAAGGAATCCAAATCATCAACAGTAATTCCATACAAGGAAGGCGCCTCGGAAATCTCACGAAGAATTCTTAACAAGGCAGGCAGGAATAAAAGTGGCTGGAATTCAAACCAACCACAAACTCAATTAGAAACAAGCTTTGTCGGTTAAACGATCAATCTTGTGGAGCCTTTAAAACAAAAAAATTTAGTTTATCTAATACACTCCCTGCTAGAATGATTGTCAGGTCAAATACATAGGTCAAACTAGTAGAACAGGGTCAGTGAGTCAGACTAGCTGAATATAAAAACCCAACAAAATCTAGATTGGTTGACTCCAATAAGATAAAAAATCTAGAGTATAGTTCAGCTATGCCACTCATTACATGCAATTACACACAACCATACAATAGACTGGATGGGATAAGATGACAGTTTTAAAATCTAATCTAATATAACAGGGTGGAGGGAGAGATTGATAACAGAAGCTTTTAAAACAATTAGTCCCTTTGATAACATTGAATAAGGCATTTAGACAACAAATTTCGCGAGATGATATCATTTCGTAGTTTCTTTACAACCGCTTTACAACTAACATGGTTAACAATAATAAAATAAAGCTAATGACAATTACTCAGTTAAATAAAAAACACAAAAGTACGTACTAATGACCAATCATATTTAAATAGGTCATGTAGTCTAGGGTAGGCGAAGATTGAAGTCTATTGATTTTTGTACACACAGTTTAGGCTGTATGTGATTAATCCAAAGGGCTTCCATCACCTTCAATAACCTTGAATTAGAGTTATGTGAAATAATTGTGAAACAGTTACTAATATTGATTTTGTGACCTGACATTAATAAGTGCTATGCAATGGATGATGCTTGATTGCTATTCAGATTAATCGCATTGAGATTTTCTAAATGATTTAGTAGCCATTTTGGAACATGTTCTTTTCGACGACATTGGAACATTCTATTGGTTCTACCTATATAGGTGTCACCGCAGCTGTAGGTGAACTTGTAGATACAGTTTGAAGTAGAATCCACAGAATTTCGTCCTTTAATCGTAGGAACAGGGATCGAAAATGTTCGGCAAGTGAGAAAAAGAGATGCGGCGTAAAATGTGAGTTTGATGGCTGACCGAAATCTTTGAGCGGTCAACTGCATAATCTGGTCGCCTTTGAATGATAGGTCAATGAAGATAGCTTTCTTTGGTAGAGAAGCTGTCTTTTCGAGATGTGGCTTTTCTTTAATGTGACAAGTGATAAAGTTTTCCGAATAACCTTTAGCTAATAGCTGAGTAACTGTCATGAACTTTATTTTATTGTTAACCATGTTAGTTGTAAAGCGGTTGTAAAGAAACTACGAAATGATATCATCTTGCGAAATTTGTCTTCTTAATGCCTTATTCAAAAATATAGATAAACAATCTATGTATTTCTCTTTCACTTAATTACTTCATCAAAGTGTTCATGTCTCTTGTCTTTTTGCCAAAAAACACTTTTCACGCAAACCAGTGAATCATAAATATGGTGTCGGCTGATTTCGTAATAAATCCTAATTTCTATTGGTTGATATGATATTGTGATTTTGAAGCAGTGAGAATTATCATTTTGCTAGTTTTTATAAGTTTTAATTGAATTCTAAAAAGGACTTGTCTGAAGCCTCAACCGACTTAAACACCACATTCTGTCATATACTAATGTTTGATGTAGTGCTATAAGACATGAAACCAGGTGTCAGGTAATCCACAACGGGATACTCAGTAAGGCATTCAAGGTGATTACATGAATAAAACAAGGCTGGCTGTCTATTATCACCAATGATATTTTTAATCATGGTGGACTGAATTATGCGTCAGACTGTGCATCGGGATCGAGGAGACAAGAAAATTCCGGCCTACCGATGAGAAGGATCTAGAAAACTTGGATTTTGCAGACGACATATGTCTAATGTCACACAAACTCAAAGACTTACGGGTGGAAACCAACAAGGTGGGAGAAGAAGCAGTCAGAGAAGACACGACATCAAGTGAACATAGAAGAGATGGAGGTGGTGAAGATAACCAAACCACTACAATAACCAGCACCAATCACCATTGTAGGGAGAAATTCGACAGAGGTTACTTCCTTCGCTTAGCTAGGAAGCATCGTTTCAACAACAGGCAACAGAACGAATGAAGATGTCAATGCCAGTCAGAATCGGAAATGCAAGATATGCCTTCAACAATCTGAAAGCAATTTGGGAATCTTCTCCACACAGTCAGCATAAAATACAAGATTCGGATTTTCAACAAAAATGTAAAGTCTGTCAGTCGGAAACTTGCTATGCACGTCCCGAAGGGGATTTCTACCAAGTTACAGAGTTTTATCAATAGCTGCCATCTTCACTGGTTCCATGTTGAAGAATAAATGGCCGGCCAGAAAGTATTATCAACAAGAAACTCAAGGAACGAGCCGACCAAGAACCTATTGCTCAATAAATATCTCGAAGAAAATGAAGATGGATTGGGCATATACTGAGGAGGTCGTCGAATAACATCTCGGACAACGCAGGCGATCGCTCGAATGGAATCTCAATGGGAAACGATGAGTGGGTCATAGGTGCGAGGGTGACATAGAGGAAATCGTACGAAGAGAAGGCGAGCCAATGAGGTCAATCGTGGACCCACCTGAAGAGAACGGCATCAAATAGAGGAAAGTGGAAATGTGTTGTTGAAGCTCTGTGCTCCACTCGGAAGCCAAGGGGGTAATAAAAATAATGATAATGACCAGGAATCTCTGTTTCCCTGATTCCTGATGTTCAATAAATAATTCTTTTCCGTAATTCTTATACTACTTTCTCTAGCCTATATCGGCCATGCTACACGTGGTCCAGGCTTTGATCCTCGACTGACACGCTCCTAAACCTAGCTTAGCTGGCAGTAACCCTGGTAAAGAGAGAAGATTGAGAGTGCGGTTAGCAACCCAGAACAGTAAGAAAATAATACAACTGTTGATGAAACTTCGAAATTGAGGCTTGAAGCCCTATGTTCTATTCACAATGCAAATAAAGTAAATTCTCCATTCTAACTATAATGTTGGTAAATACAATGATATTACAGTAGTTGTAGGTGTCAACAGATGAACATAAACCCTCCATTCTGAGTAATCGCATCAAGTGTCTTATTGTGACAGATTCATTTTTGGTTGAATTATTGTCAGAACTTGGTATCCTTGTATCCTGACTGAAAAAGGAATAAAATTATGTCTAAATTGGTCTTTATCAACTTTCTACAATATACCTTTTGTGTATTATACATATGCATATATCTGATACAATGGTACTTGAATTCAATCAACCTTTTGTTTAACTATATTCACCTCTCTTCATGATATTATCTCATTTCATTCATTCATTTATTACAGCAAAGGAAGAAAACGCCTAAACGTTCAGGAACAGTCAGTAAAAAACGTTTGAAACACTTTGTCTATAGACGTAAATGGCAGGTTAGTGATTTTGACGCTTTAAAATACCAGATTTTTCACCTTCGATACTGATTTTTAACTTACTCTTATGTTTATTGCTCTGACACTTATTTAGTTTATTGTAAAAAATTTTTTTCCAAACAGTGGGGATCTTCACTGGTTTCCCCACAAACTATTATGTGTGTGTGTTTGCGCGCACGCTGCCTGGGACTTTCAAATTAAGATAACAACATTATTTTCAATGCTTCATATCTAAGTCGGATAAAATTGTACAAGGCATATGTATATATGTAGCAAGTAGGACATCAGATTGGAAGGAAGGTGAATAGAAATGATGTGATTTCTTGATGTCTATGGATTTTAAGGTGGGTACACCTGTTAACATATGTATATATTGTCAACAAAGTCGACTTATTGTGGTCTGAATGCAGGTAATCAATCTTTGCGTCGTACTACATACATAACTGATCAAAACTTCCTTGAGACATGCACAGTTACGAAACGCTCCAAAGACACCAAGAAGATGGTGCTTCGTCGTAAGACCTATGGTTTCATCCAACCATAATCACACCGCAAACTTACAGTTACTTCAGCAGTGCAATTAGGCCGGCAGTCACATAAGCTAGATAAGTTTCCAGTACAAAACAAGTAATGCACAATAAAATTAATTGACTAAAATTCAGCCGTAAGGAGTACCCTAGAAACAAACAGAAAATTCCCAGCAAGGTGGGATTAAAACTCTGCCCAAAAGAATCATACACTAACGATACCTGCAAGCAGTCCAAATTCAGAGTGACCTTCATTCACTCAAGTAAAATCGTATCGTAAAATAACATGTTATTACTGTATCTCACAATCACAAAGAAAACCATTAAAATTCGAGATCAAACAGGAATAAAGGCATATAATGAGGACCAAGTCAACATATGACATGTAAGTGTCAGAACAATCTACGAAGAAATGGGATTTGAATTATGAATTTAGTTGAAGCATCCAAATAAGCATCAATATTGTAATTAGTTCGTTGACAAGGAATTACTCAAACAATTATTCCTTTGCACCATGCATTATTTCAAGAAAAGATATATATATATATATATATATATATATATATATGTGAATCGCTCATATATGAGAACCATTTTAAGCTGCTTCAAAATAGGATCCCACTTAGATTTACTTTCAAGTTATTCTATTACCCTGATGTGTAGAGAATACTTGACCCTACGGATCGATATCATCTGGGAAATCAAATTAATGATAAACAAAGGGTATAGAACATTCACATATGTTTTGTGACCGAAGTATAGTCAGTATATATAAATTTTCAAGTTTTGGTTTTGCCCTATTCAGGCAGTGACCTGAGGTTCTAGTGGGAAGTCGTGACCAGTAGGGTGCAGTATGTTGAAGGTAAAGTGGTAACTCATAGAAGAAGACATTGAGAAGTGACCGCGCTATGTCATGAATTGGCAGAAGTTCAAATTCATGGACTGGCCAATGGATCGGCGGGTTCTAGTGGCTTAATGGTGGTCTAAGAGCTCGCTGGTCTTGTAACCAGAAGGTCTTGGGTTCGAACCCCGGTGGTGGATGTGTATTTCTGAAGAGCCCCAAACTAGGAAGAAACGGCTGTCTAGTACTCCCAGGTGGTTTTTCAATAGTTCCCTAATTTCTGTCAGCTCATGATGAAATTCCCCAACTGATACATAAATTTATCGGTTTTTTAAACTTACCGGAATTTAAGAAATTTTAACTTTTTTAGGAACTTCCTTAGACTATGAAAAATCTTTTTGAAAACCCCATGTAAGGATATGATTTATAGATGAATTGGTGGTTAGTAAAGTGGACCGATTTATCCCAGGATTTCAGTTGTTACTCACTATTTGGCTGGTGATGACTAGCAATAGAATTCAGGATATGCGTTTCATCTCCACTGAGTGACGGATGATGTTTCCATTGAGACACAAAGGAAACCAAGCATTTCCTACTAATATAGACCATCAACGGGATATATATTCTATATGATTTAGTTTAGATTGCCAGGTAAATTAATCAACCTAGAAGACAACCTAAATTAAACATGTACAAGGAAGTAATGATTAAAATACACTAATTAGTGTAATTATCAAAGTTTATTAATGCGATACCTACTTTCAGACGATACTTTATCACTTCAATTTTAGATTTTCCCGTCGATTGATTGGACCGAAGTACTCGGCCTTAGGTTGACATGTTGGTCTCTTGTGCAGATGCTTCGACGATATCTGGACATGTAATTAGAATTCAATTGATGGGTGGTGACTAGCAATGGATTTCAGGATGCGCAACCTGAAATGGAGAACTTCGGTCTATTCAATCGACGGAAAAACCTTAAATTGAATTAAACAATTAATAGGACCCAGTGCACAAAAGGTGGCTCTCGTGGCCCAAGCGTTCTAGTGGTATATGCTTTGGCGTTTGAAACTATAGGCACTGGGTTCGAGCCTCGGTAGGAACATCATCACTCACTGAGGAATACAGGTATATCCAACCGATAAGTCAGTCCCAAATATGACGAAATGCACATCCTGGATTCCACTCCTAATCACAATCCACCAATTAATATTCTGTCACATTATGAGAAAACAAAAGTAACAGAACTTGATTAAATTAAATTCTCTTTTCTTCTCTTTTTGTGTTTCAGAAAGCTGTTAATGCAATCATAGCTCTTCAACGTATGGGTGTTGTTCTTCAACACTCACCAGTAATCATGGGTAAACACAGTAATCAAACATTACAAACAGCAAAACGATCATTTGAAAGTGAGGCAAAACGGTTGCACCATCCTCAAGTAGCTGAACTTAAACTGCCATCGAATAGTCAACCAACATCAAGTGGAAAAGATAAGTCATCACCTGAAAGAGTTAAAAAGACTTCAGGTATATTTAGAAAAACCAGTTTCTTCAATAAAGCAATGAAGAGTGACACCAGTAGTGTGACTACTAATACTACTACAGCCAATAGTGTTGTTAGTAATAAAAGTAAACTTGATAAAAATTCTTCACATTCATCTCCATTGCCTAAAAATAAAGAAAATTCCCCACTAAAGATAAAGCATAAAGAAAGTGGGAAGGGATTTTTCTTTCAAAGAAATAAATCAAATCAAAGATCTATATCATCAGATAGTTCATCGAATAAACCTGAAATCAGTGAACAAAATTCTAGATCATCGGTTATTTCAGAATCGATTGGATCAACTTCTAAACTTCGAAAAGATTCCTCTTCTTCATCTGCTAATATTAAAAATCAGAAAAAGGATAATTTAACAAAAACAACATCAACAGCAACAACAACAATAACAACATCTCAGCAAAATCAGAAATCAACACCGAAATCAGCAGCTTTACCGCCTCCATCTATTTCTCCAAAAACTTCTATAAGTCTACTGTCAGCTAAAAAGTCAACAATAAGCAGTACAATTAATGAGAAAGTAAAATCATTTAATTCTTCATCAACTGATGGTGGTGGTGCTATAAAAGCAAAGTCAATAACACCTGAGAAAACAATTACTACAACTCATAATACTACTGCCGGTAATCTTACTGGTAGTAGTAGTAAAACGACCACTTCATCTACAACACCAATAACTACTGATAAAAAGTTTAATTTCAACCAGAAAACAACATCTACAAGAGTAAAGAAGTTATCGGCTAGCACAACAAAATCAGATATCGCTGCTAAGATCAGTTTCTTTGCAAACTTATCTAAAGAAGAAAAAGTCAAATGATAGCTGTACATGTATTTCACTTCTTGCTGTCTTCATCTTTTCTGTAAATTTCTGTCTCACTTTTTATTATATTCTATTCATTATATCTTCATTATTGGTGTATAGGTATCAAAAATTCAGATTCGGACACAAGACTGGTTGACGTAACACAAACTACATTATTATTTCAAAAATCCCAAGAATAAAAATCAAGATAATGATAAATAAAGAAATAAATAAATAAAGACACATTTTGTAATCGTAATTTTTCCTTCTTACATATCACTTTATTATTATTTGTAATAATTATTATACGTCATTATTATTATCAGTGTTAATTGATGGTGCCTTTTCAATATTCAAGTGTTCGTTCAATGTCCAATGGATGTCATTGTAGATCACATTATATTTATTATCTGTTTCATTATTTATTGAAAATGTTTTTTGTTGTGCTTTCATATTCTCTTGACTTTTTTTTTAAAAAAAAGTTATATAATTTGTGTGAATAAATATTAGATCCATTTTGATACATATACATGTACGTATATCGCATTTTTCTTATTGCAATGTACAAAAATTTCGACTGTTCAACGATCATCAACTGATCGTATATATTCTGGTCGTAATTATTCAGTTGACCAATAAACGAATGAATCATTCATTTCATTATTGACTGGATAAATTTCATGTTCCTGTTTTTATTTATATCTCTTTTATTCTTCTTCTTATTATTATTATTTTCCGTTCATTTCATTTAATCTAAAATGAAAGGAGTAACCAGTTAAAATGTCTTCTTTCGTTTTGAGAGTTAAGGACCACCAATCAAGGGAAAAATTGAAGTAAGCTAAGGTTGTTAAATTCTCCTAGTTATTCAGAGATTGTCATTACTGGACAACATCTCTCTGTGATGACTTCTTTTGAGTTCTCTAGTATGGGTTAACTTTAATAGTGAAACTTATGAATGAAGCTAAGAATGATAGTAATGAAATTAACATTCTGCTATTAGTTGTATTCTCTGAACTGGTTGATTTAATTACTAGGCTTTCATCGTCCTTTTGGCCAAAATCTTCACCGCATGTTTTAGCATAAAATGAACTAATTAAAATTCTCCATGAATGATCGAATTGCGTCTCCTGGTAACCATCTTCGTGACTGGTAGTCGAATTATATCTGTAGTGATCATTTTTATTGACTTGAATTTTGAACTTTCTAGTCAAATTATTTATATGTCCAAACCAAGTCCACTTTTAATAGTTTAAAAAAATTTGGGCATTGAGTTTATGATATTCATTATAATAAAGGTTTTTGTATTTCCCAATGAAGGAAAAACAAAACGATGTTGTTTTTACCCGTCAAATGATTTACTTTTTATTAGTAGATGGATGATTACCAGGAGAGGCAGTTCTATAATTCATGTTAAATTTAAATCAGTTCATTTTACTCTAAAACTTACTCTACACATTGTGTTCAGAAGGTCGACGAAAGCTTCGCAACTAGACCAACCAGCACAAAGAACACAATTAATTTCAAATCAACCACCTGAGTTACAAATCTCTATTATTTCAAATTAATATTCTCGAAAGGAGAATTGTGAAAGTTGCATTATCAAGCTAGGTAACTCGATCAATAACCAACTTAATAAGTGGATGGATTATTACTAACATAATGAAAATTTAGATGTATTGGAAATTAGTAGAAGTTAGAACTCATGGAACACTGGACTTCCATCCTAGTGGATAAATGGTTATTGAGCTCGCTTCATAACCCAAAGGTACTGGTTTCGATCCCTAATGGCGGGTTTTTTTTAAGTGTAAACTGTCGAAAAGTCCCAAACAAGGACGAAGCAGCTGTTTATTACACCCCCTTTCCACGTTTTCAATGGTTTTCCACTATCTCAATTGAAGTATAATAATGATAGTGAGTATGCGGTTAAGGAGATCACGGCAACTTGTTAGAATTTCTTGAAATTCATTTAATTTTTACATTTTGGAGAAAAGAGATAAGTGTGGTCAACTAAAGAGTAACAGGTATGAAGTAGGCCATTACTATGCCAGTTATTGCTAACTAAAGTTATATAATTAACGCTTCTGCTAGTTTGTAACAACAGAAGACAAGGGCCAGGCAACCGATCGTTTTATTATGAAAATCAACACGTATTTATATATATTTCACACACATTATTATAGCTTATGCAAGTAGAAAAGCGCAGTCATCTGATTGGTTGCAGACAAACGCAGGCTTCTGATTGGTTGTTTCGGGATTCCTTGACAAATAGAGTTCTCTATCTGCGAATCATATTTTGCCACGTTAACTTTGCTGTGATTGGTTGTTGAATCAGCCTTGTTCATATTTTCTCACGGCCCATATTAGTGACCTAGACATTAACGTAGATTAGTGTCAACCAATCGGCTAGCAGCCTGCACTCACCACAAGTTTACTTGGATACACTGTATATTTAACTAAAAGTGAAATTTCCACAAAGATTGGTTTGCAGAGATTTGATAGATTTAAGAAATGATCACGAAATAACTTTAGTTAGAAGGCTACTGAAAACCAGGAAGTACTGAGGTGTTGTTTCGTCCTTGTTTGGGACTTTTCAGAAGTTTAAACCTATGGCTGCAACAGGGATCGAACCAATAACCTTTAGGTTACAAGACAAAGTAAAGTATAGTGAACACATTTTACCTACACTACAGTAAAGTTTATTCTGCTCTACCTCTTTTTCACATTTATTTACAAACACTTTTACTATAGTCAGCCTAGTAGAAGAAAACAGTTACCTAACTGGAAGTGCTCTTTAGTGTATGATCTCTTCATCGTAATATCAGGGCAGTATGCCTTACAAATTAGTTAAAAATAGCCGAGTGACGCAGATAGATTTGACATGATATTTACCTCATCATCACTTTCAACCAGATACTGCAATATGATATAATATAACACAGTGATGCAGTATGTCTAAGTATAAACTCCTCTGTTAAAGAATTATACTTCAAAGCAGTAGAAATATCCTTCTCTGACATTCTCAGAGTTACACTTTTCATTTCGACATAACCCAGGGTGATACATAACTCCACAATCCAGCATATACTACTATTTTCTGGTGAACTGAGTGAGTTATTACTATTATTGTTTCCTTTAGTGCCTAAAGGAACATAGGGCTCCAGCCACACGTCTCCATTGCGTTCGGTTCTTCGCCAATGTTTTCACCTGGCTCCATGTCTGCTCACATGCTTTTATCTCCTCTTCACATCACCTCCACCTCCATGTCACCCTCGCGCTGGTGATCGACATGCGGCTTCCCATTCGGGTTCAAATCGAGAGATGGCCTGGTGTATTAGTTTTCTCAGAGTATGGCCAACCCACCTCCATTTATTTATGCATGTTTGTTTCACAGTTGGTTTCCAGTTAGTTCACTCCCAGAGATCTCTGCCACTCATATATTCTGGTCATCTGATCTTGAATATTGAGTGAAGACAACTGTTTATAAATGTTTGTAGTTTGTTCGAAGTGCCCTTCGTGAGACGCTAAGTCTCTGATCCGTATAGTAGCACTGACTGACTTCACATTGCAGTTGAAAATCCGGATGTTGTTTTTTATGCTGACTGCTGTTGACCTCCACTCAGACTTGAGAGTAATGAAAGCTTTGATATCCTGATCAGTTCCGTCCGCCTGTAGTTGAAACGATGCTTCCCAGGTAGGTAAAGGAAGTTGCTTCTTTCGGATTTATCCCATTTATACTGACTGTTATCTGTTGTTGTTGCTGTTGCTTTTGTTGTTGGCCAGGAATCTTCGTCACCTCTGTTTTCTCTATGTTCACCTGACGGCCTATCTTCTCTGGATGCTTCTTCTGCCAACTTGTTGCTTTTCATCTGCATATCTTCCAGTTTGTGGGAAGTCAGACATATATCATCATCGGCGAAGTCCATATCCTCCATCATTTCTGTGGGTGCAATTTATGCCTGTTTCCTCATTGCCCGCTGTTTGTTGCATTATCCAGTCCACTGCAATCAGGAAAATCATTGGAGATAGTAGACAGCCTTGCCTCACTCCCGTCTTCACTTTGAAGGCTTCTGTGAATTTCCCGTTGTGGATTACTTGACATGCAGCATTGTCGTACAACTGTTGGATGAGGTATATAATTGTTGGCGGAACTCTGTAGTAGCGAAGTAGTTTCCAAATCACCTCTTGATCGAGTTTAATAAGAAAAATGAATTAGAAAGTGAAAGGTTTATTAGCAGTAATTTATTCTTAATTTTTATCGTTAACTAAAAACATTTTGTCTTGACATAAGAATATAATTCATGTTGGAGAGAAGAATAATTTTACAGCCTAACGGACACAAATATGGACAAGGAATCTTGCCCAGAATTACATGCCTCAGCATTACAAGTAGAATTAAGGAAGGGATATAAATAAAAACAATTCCCCAAAAGAAGAACACCTGTAAATAATGAGAAAGCCGTGAACATGCCCTAAATTTGAACCACATCTGAGCTGTTGTATTATGAATCTGAACTGTGCCATTAGCAGTCCTCAGGTAATTATTAGTAGCACATTTAATTTATGACTAGATACTCGATACCTCCCTTAGTACCATACATAAACAGGCAGTCATATTTTCTACGGTTTAAAAGGTATCCTGCTCACATAGTTTCTCTTGCTTTATTCACATAAAATGTATTACTAATAATAGAAACAACCGGTGAACATTAGCAATGAATCAGCTGACTGGTGAGACCTCTGAGGAAAATTGGTAGTTTATTGATTGCAGTCAATAAAAGTTCCACTAGTTAAAATTGAAATTTGAACTTGGTAGACTGACTCACTTTTAAACTTGCCAGTGATGAAATATATCTGCAAGAAAAGAATACACTAAATAAATCGGCAAAACAAAACTGATGAAAGAATTTCGTTAACGCTAGTCTGCAGAAATTTAACTCACAGTGATTGAACTTTTAAATGAAACGGAAATCAATTCACATATAAGAAGAAATCTTGTAGAAAAGGAATATCCAAAA